AGCATTCTCAAATTAAGTGGTTGAAGCATGATAATTATGACGTAAAGCTTTTTCATCAAACTACTACTAAATGAGACAATATAAAAAAACCTAGCTATCAAAGTTAAAAATTGAATATGGCTAAAGGAAGAGAAATTATTGTTGGAAAGTTTATTGATTTTATAAGGACTTATTTACTATAAATAAGAAATGAGAGTATGAGGGATATTCTTAAAAATGTCCCCAAGTTAATGATAGATTCAATAAAAAATGCCTTGGTAAAAGACGTATTAGTAGAAGAAGTGATGTAGGCTATGTTTCAATTAGGAAGAATAAAACCACTAGGTTTTGATGGTTTTAATAGGGTATTTTTAAAAGAAGTGGAAGTGGTGAAGGAGAAAATAGTAAAGGTAGTGCAAATTTTTTACTTGAATGGTCATTTGTTGAAAGAATTAAACAAAATGAATATGGTGTTGATTCCAAAAGTAAAAAAACAAAAAAAAGGTTACTCAATTTCAACCTAAAAGCCTTTGTAATTTTCTTATAAGATTATCTATAAAGTGATGGTAAATAGGTAAAAACCAATCATGAGAAAGTTTATCTTTCATAACAAAGGGGATTTATGGAGAGACAACAGATTTAAGATAATATTTTGATAACTAGTGAGGCTTTTATTACTTGAAACAAAAGAAAATGGGAAAGAAATATGAGTTAAGGTTATAATTGGACATGAGTAAAGCATATAATAAGGTGGAATGAGATTTTTTTGAAACTGTCTGGGTAAGGTTTGGCTTTGATAAAAAATGGACAAGCTAGGTTATGGAATGTGTTTCTTCAATGTCCTATACAATAGTAACCAATGGTAAGTCCTATTAGAGGATTGAGACAAGGTAACCCTTTATCACCAATTTTGTTTCTTTTTAGTGTTGAAGTCTTGTCTAAAATGATCCATGTTGCTATTCAATCCAATTTGACTACTGGTATTAAGCTTAGTAGGAATTGCCCTAATCTTTCTTACTTACACTTTACAAATGATGCTTTATTTATTCATTTATTTATTTATTTATTTGTTACTAACAAAGGGAACTATTGGAACATATTTAAAATTTTATAAAAGTACTGAAGTGCATCAAGACAAATGATCAACTTGAATAAATTAAGTGTAGTGTATAATGGAAATGTACTAGAACAAGTGAGAAAGGAGTTAGGAGAATGCTTCAGGGTGCTAGTAACTGATGAGCTAGGAACATATCTTGGAATACCTACATTTTAGGCAAAAACAAAAGATATTGCTATTAGTTTTATAAGAGAAAGGATACAAAACAAGTTACAAACATGGAACAGGGGGTTGTTGTCATAAAGGGAAAAGGAAGTTTTGATCAAACTAGTAGCTAGTACATTTGCTACTTATGCAAAGAACTATTTTAAATTGCTTAGAAAGTATATGATTGTTGCTATTTATATTGCTTGCAAGTGCACAAATCGCATCAAGTAATAGTAGTGAGTAAGTAGAGTATCGTCCCATAAGGACTATATAATTAAATTATTGGGTCTAATCAAATACCAAAGTTGACAATCTACTATTCTTATATCTAAACAAATGAAAACTATTGTTGATTGCAAATAAAAGTAAATCAATAAAAACAATGTAAAAAGTAATTGTGTAGACCAATATCCAACTATTCAACTGTCATTTAAAAGTTCTTAGGAATGGCCGAATATAACAAAAACGCTTAAAAAATTGAAAGTTTTGAGAAAAGAAAGATTGATTGTAGACTAAAAATAAAAGAAAACATAAAACAAGATTCAATGATTGCTTCTAAAAGAAAATTAAGAAAACAATTTGTTATGGCTAATTTGCCACCTTAGCCAAAATACAAAGAAAATTATAAAGAAAACAATATAAGAAAATCAAAACTAAAGAAAAAAAAATAAAAAGAAGAATGGGATGAGAATTGAGTTGTGTGAGACATATGAGATATGATGTCATGTCATGTGTTGTGATATGATTGCAAGAGAGACTCTTATTTATAGAGCTAAATTTGGCTAGGATGGGGATTAGGATTACAAATTTTTATTCTATCCAAACTCTAAGTAATAAAACTTGATCTTGATCTTTAAAGAGGTAAAGTTGAAATAGGGTTCTTCATTCTTAGAGTGCCTTGGCCGAATGGATATTCTTGGATTTGACATAATCCACCATGTGTCATGCTAATCTTGATCTTGCAATCTTAAAAGAGGTTCGACTAACCATGGTTATCCAAGACCATGCAGTTGCTTCAAGTTCAAACTCTTGATATAAACTTTCAAGAGTCATTTTCAATAATAACTCTTAACCTTACTCCTTTGTTATGTCCTTCTAGCATAAAAACTCTTTAAAGATTGATCAAAGAGTCTTCTTTTTATAAAATCTCTTATTGGCCAAATGCTTATAGGAGTCCTTATACAAGTATGCTTTTTCAGTTATTAATTGTATGTAGGATTCCCTTTATAAATGGGATAGCTAAACGTATTCAAGAGCCATAATATAATTAGGATTCATTTATCCAAGTGAAATTAGGAGTCATAGTATCAATGGGATTCGGCTAAACTTGGTTCTTGCATGGCCGAACATTACAATAATTAGGATAAACCTAATCTTGCATGGAATTGAATAACTTGCATGGTTTTCACATACTATAAGCTTGTAACCTAAAAATCAAGAAAACATTCATTAAACACACATATTCAATCAAATTTCAAAATTGTTGAACTAAAAAGAACTTGTAAATCACTCTATATTTTATGGCTATCAATAATGAGAAAATGAATGGGGATATGGCTAGATTTTGGTAGTGACAAAAGCAAGAAGAAAGGAGAATTCATTGGTTAAGCTAGTAGAAATGACCTCTAGTAAAAATCAATGAGGGATAGGGTAGGGATCTAAACTTGCTCAATAATGCATTATTAGCAAAGCAATGCTGGAGAATAATTCAGAATCCCAAGGCTTATTGGGTTCAAATTCTTAAAGCCATATACTTTGTATATTCCTCATTTTTAGAAGCTAATAATGAAGCAAGAACTTCTTAGATCTATACTACCTTACTAGAAGGGAATGTATTAAAAACTAGTTATGTTGGCAAGTGATGGGATGGGGGAATATCAACATATGGAAGGGTTCTTGTGGTTGGTATGTTGGTTCCAAAGGGAAATGTAAAAGTGTGACCAGTTACCACAACTGGTTTCAGATTTAATAAATAAAGTTGCAGGATGCTGGCATTTGAACTCCTTAAAAATGTGTTTCAAATGAGATCTTAGTGGGGATTAAAGCCATACCTTTTAGCAAATAAAGATGGGAGGATAGAATGGTACGGCCCAAAGTTGGCAGTAGGGAAAACTCTATCAAAAATGGTTATCATGTATTTAAAGATAATGAGGGAAGGATATGTAAGAAAGGAGCTTCCTGTTCACGCTAGATAGAAAAGGTAGTCTAGAAACCTGATTTGGAAGCTTAAAGTACGTAATAAGATTAGGAATTTTTTTATGAAGAGTTTGTACTAATGCTATACAATAATGAAAAATCTGTGGATGAGAAAATTTTGTGATGAGTCTATATATTATTTTGTAGCAAGGAGGTAGAGACTATTGAACATATCCGGTTGCAATATCAATCGCTAAAAGGAGTTTGGTTTGCCTATGGATTGGACTATCAGGTGGATAGGGAAAGATTACAATGTTTGATGATTGGCTTAAGAGTGTTATGCTAATGGAAAATTTGAACAAGGGAGAGAAAAATTGTTAGGATATTTTTGTGTCAATCATATATTGGCATATAGGGAAGAGTAGATGTAAGGCTTGTATTAATAAGAAAATGTCAAAGGTTGAAGAAACTATCAAGAGAGATCAAAGTGAAGCTGTGAAATACCTGGAAATGCTACAAACTAAGGATGAAAACATTGTTTTTAAATCATTTAGTATCCATATATTATGAGAAATGATGTTTTGGAAGTATGAAAAAGTCATTGGAATAAAGTAAAGAATGAGCAACTAACGACCTTATCAACTACCAGAGAAGAGCAACTGTCCTAGCATATGCCTATGAACAAAATTTGTCACAAACTCTGGGGTGACATTTTGGCAGAAATATAGGCATGGGTAGTCGACTTCCTTTAAGGGGCAATTGATTAGCCTTCTTGGAAAGTAAAAAAAAATATGTACGTTGGACATGCTGTTTCGTTCCAAAAAAGATGTTTCTTCATCTAAAGGTGTCTATTCGTGGAAAGATGTTTAAGATATCTTTTGGGGCTTATTAATATATCCTTAACATTCATTTTAACACATCTTTACATATTTTAAAATAAAAAATCAGATTTTCTCTCTCTAAACTTTTATTTTCTGGTTTTGGTTTAAGTGTATTTAAAAATAACTTGAAGTGCTATCTTATTCTTCTTCGTTTGGGCATTATATCTTGGAGACAACTTTTGTTGAGACCATTTTCATTTTAGTGAGGAAACTATTATCCTTAAAAAGTCTCCTTGAAAATGCCTCACCCAATTTTTTTTTTTTTCAATAAAAGATTGCATTCATTGTCACCCTCACACACAACACCTATTAGTTATTTAATTAGACGTTTTATTTTCAATAATCTAAAATTTTCAACATACTTTACCTTTATTTTAACTATAATTGCCTATCTTATTAATTTGAATGTAGTATTACCGATTTGTATGAATAATTTATTATTGCAAATAACTTCAAAGTAGCTTCGTTATTCTCTGTTAATATATAATTACATATATTTTACCTAATTGTTCATTTTATTATCATAGAGAACACAATTTGATATACACTATTTATTATTATTATTATTATTATTATATTTAGTTTCTAAGTATATAACTGGAGAGGTTGTAACCAAAAACTTCATTTCCTAAGTATAAAACAAACATAATCACTCTTAACGAGTATATACTATATATATATATATATAGATATATATATATCGGAATAATTATTAAAATTCACATTTTGTAGTGGTATTGCTAAAAGTACTCAAATTCTATGTAATTAGCAGAAGTGGTAGCACTGTTTTTATCACCCCCAACTCCAAGATGAGGAGCAGGGTTGTTCTTCTTGTCATCGTTGCTAGCGAAATGTGAGAAGTCTAGAGGTTCAGGTACGTGGGGAGGCATGGCGCTTCTGACCAAAGCCCAATTGACTCCCTCAAAAAATGGATGCTGTTTTATTTCCGTTGCTCCTCTTTTGCTTGCTAGTCGTTTGCTTGGTTCTTTTACCAGGAGCCCTCGTATGAGATCACGAGCCACGAAACTCACTTGTGGAGTTTCTGGGAATCTCAGCGGCTGCTCTACAACATTGATAAGTGTGGCTCGATTTCCTTGTCCCTTGAATGGAGTTGTGCCAAGCAAGAGTTCATACAAGAAGATGCCGAATGTCCACCAGTCCACTGCACTGCCATGACCTTCTCCTCGAATGATTTCCGGGGCTAAATATTCATGCGTCCCGACGAAGGACATTGAACGAACATCGGTAGGTTCTGCCATTAACTCTGGCATGGTGCCTCCGAGAAAGAGGCCAAAATCTGATTTAGATTTACGATTTTTTTTACCAGGCAAAATGCGGGGGAAAAATGTTGATGGCTGCATACAACCATGTACAGCTGCAAACTCATTATCCAAAATGCCACCAGTGCCACCACTATTGCTCGTTTGATGTGTAGATGAAGATTTCACCAGTGTTGGACTGACAGAGCAACGGAGCGATAAGTCAAAATCTGAAAGCATGATATGGCCTTCATCTCTTACCAGAACATTTTCTGGCTTTAAGTCCCTGTATACTATACCTAGCATGTGCAGATACTCTAGTGCCAGCAATACTTCTGATGCAAAGAACCTGCTAAAACCAAATGAAACATCGGTATTATATATTAACTCTAATTGAGCACAATATGCTATTTTTACATAGAAGTATAATTCTACAGCTGTTAATCCGATCCTGGCTGCCCTAACCAACATATCCTCAATGCATAGTGAAAATAAACGAATTGACAGATGGGAGAAAAATAAAAAGAATGGACGAATTCATAAAAGGGGTTACTAACCGTCCAGCTTCCTCTGTAAAATGCTTGTTGGGTTGCTTTTGGCGGAGAGAATGAAGATTGCCGCCCCTACAGAACTCCATGACCAGACAATAAAACTTGTCTGTCTCAAAATATGAATACAGAGTTGGCAAGAAAGGATGATCAAGAAGACCAAGAATCTCTCGTTCCGTTTGTGCTCGCAATACCTTGTTTCTACTAGCCAGGGATGCCTTGTCCATTACTTTCATAGCGAAGTAGGCATTGGTTCCTCTGAGTTCCACAAGATATACACTTCCAATGTCTCCATATCCAAGGCGCTTCAAACGCCGGAAATTGTTTAGACCAATTGGGCCTTTGGCACTGACCGTATTAATGGCATCCCACCGTCCATCACCACCTGTGTGAGGCCTAAGGGGAGTAGTGGAGCTCTCCAGGCTATCACTACGACTGTTGTTTATACTCCCTGGGACATGGACAAGATTGTTTTGCATCGAATTGGTATTTCTTGCATCATTTGGCGGCATCTTGGGCTTCTTAACAAGATCCATCATTGTGGGATCGTATTGCTGGTTAGAAGGTACATTTTCATTCACTTTGGGAATTGGAGTTGAATATCCAGGTCCAGGAGGTGAATTGGCACTAATTTTAGCCGTTCTATCCACCTTTCTCTGGTCAGGAGGGAAGGTTAAAATATTCTTTTTGGTGGAATGTAAATCTGTTATTTTGTAGTGAGGAGATCCTGTTCCCAAGGAAATATCGCTCAACTGTATCATCAATGACTAAGAACAATTGTTGTTGGAATTGACTTGAAAATACATAAATGAGATAGAAATGGAATTGTACTTACCTCAGTGTCAGAGTAGTCGAGCGTTTTATTAGTTTTTGATGACATCAATAGGGAACACGATGATATATAACCCTCCACAGAATTCCTAATCAACACATAAAAAACAAAAATGAAAAATCACATGAATCTAGCAATTTGGTTGCTTGGTATTACGGAGAAAATCATGCTTGCATTTGCATGGTTTAGTCAAAAACGTTTATCAAGTTTATGGCAGGCACGTCTTGTAAGATGAAACTAATATATGATAGAAACTAAGTTTCATCTTTATTTATTTCTTCTATTCTGTTCATCTACATGATGACATGTAAGACAATATATTATATTATATCAATGCAGAGAAGCATATTAAAAAAAAAGGACCAACCAGGAACTTGTAAATTAATAGAAGAAAGAAAGCTAGCTGTTATAGTCATTTCTTTCTCTATTTCTCTGAGAAAAGAATGTTGTCATGGATTAATGAAATTAGAGAAAAAGGAAAAAAGAAAATCTAGGTATCAGATAAACGTGATTAGGACTAGATAGGGACAAGAAGAAGACGAATGAAATGAGAATGAGTTGTTTGTAATTTGAGAAGCACTACCACCCATGATAGATCTAACAGGGAAGTGGAGTTTGAAACATTGGTTATGATTCAATTTGGGAGAGATTTGAGGAAATAAAGAGACATAAAAAGCAAACACGGGAAAGAAAATAAACAAATGCAAAAATTCGAATTAAAAAAAATAGATGCAAAAATAAAAGAGCGAAGGTAGACGTTGGGAAAGAAAGAAATGGTCATTGCCTCATTAAGTAATAAGCTAATTGAAGTATTCGAGGATGAATGGTTCACCGTTTAGTCCTCAACTTCTCAAATAATGGTTTAATTAATGGGAAGTAACTTTTAATTCATGGATTAATATTTCATACACTGACAGTGTATCATTTCTATACACTATCAATAAATAATACAATAACACCTTATTAATGAATAAATTTTAAAATTTCAAGTCCTTAAAAATAAAAATTAATAAATTTATTTAGGGTTAATTAATTAAAATTAAAACTTTTCTCTTCTTTGTCACCTCCCTCTGCATTTACCGCCTTCTTCTTTTGATTTTTCAATTCTTTTTACTGGGTAAGCTTTCCATCTCAGTCAAATTTCATGATTTCTTTACTTGGTAAGTTGAATTCCGCTTCGAAATTTTCATTAATTGGTTGATCATAGGTAAAATTGTTTGATCATAGGTATTTAATTAAGCGGTTTGAATTGAAAAATTGATAGGTGGAGGAGAATTCATGGCTTTTTATGTTCACTGTAAGTGTGGGTTAAAATTAGTAATGTTAAGGAGGTGAGTGAAGGAGTTGGCAATATGTTGTCTTCTATGTGGTCAATTTGTCTTATGCATATCTAGGAAAGGATATATTGTATTATATTGAATGAAAGGGTTGGAATTATGTGATAAAGAGCTGTTACATTTTTCCTCTGTAGGTGATGGGGTTGTATGGTTATATTTGATAAGTGCCTGTCTTTGGATTTCCTTCAAGTTTGCTACTGTAAGCAACCATATTAAGTTGGAAGTATTAGAAATTTGTTTTAGCATTATGCTAGTTGATTTCTGTTCTACTGTGTTTTTTAGATTATCAACTTTCTATTTACTGATAATATTCTACTTATGAAAAGTTTCAAAATCAGTGCTATTTCAAAGTATCTGAGAATTTTCTCTTCCAGTTAAAGTTTGATCAAAACATGCTAATCGATCTAGATAAGAGGTTGGTCAAATATGATCTCAAAATTGGGATGCTGGACCTTTTGTACTGTTATGATTGTGAAAATGTGTGGTTAGCCTCATGATGACTTTGGTAAATAGACGTTGTTGAAGACTGTAGATGTTTTTGTCGTGCCCCGTTACCGATCATGAAATATTCTTATGTAGCTTTTTCTTCTTGGCTAGATTATGTATTTGATTTTTTACTTATTAAATAATATTGATCATTATTATGCCAACGTAATATTTTTTTCATTGAAGAAAATTTGGAACAGATAATAAGGCTGGTGAGATTGGCTCATCAACAATGCTTCATAATGTAAACCTCATTGGTCTTTTAACTATTGTTTGCTCTGTTTTAATGAATTGTAAAAGAATGACTTTATGCACTATTTTCATTTAGTTTGGATCTGTTTCATATTATAAAGTTCTTTTACCTTGTATGTGTTTTTGGGATTTAGGTGTTGGAATATCAACAATAAGATGATAAGAAAATGTCACTTGATCATGATATATATAATGGCGTGGAATTGGAGGTGATTCAAATTTTTATCTTAATTGATTGATAAGGTTTTTGTTGGGATTTGCCTTGAATCTCATAATCCCACATCGAAAGTTAAGTAAGTTTGAATTTGTCTTGTATCCCACATCGGGAGTTTAGTAAAGGTATAAAGGGTTTCACCCCTATAAATAAGATGTTTTGGTTTTAGTTTAGTAACCCCAGAGAGTTAGACACTAAGAGAATAGCTAAGTGAGTAGGCTATTAAAGGGTGTAATTGGGTTTTGGGTTAAGTTTTGAGTAAGGAGTTTTAGGAGACTTTTCTCATTCTAAAAGTCTCACAATTGTAAAGATTTATTTGATAGTGGATTTGGTTTGGAGTAGGCCATTTTGAGTTGGGCTGAACCAAAAATATTTGTGTGTTTTTTCTTGATTTGAACTTGTTATTTTGTGTGTGATTGCTGCGCGTGGGTGTTGTTTTTTCCCAACAAGTGGTATCAGAGCGAGGTTCGAGGTTCGTGGGTCCAAGAGATCGTGAAGCAGTGTTTGAAGATGTCTGAAGAAAGTATGTCTGGTATGTCTGGTATGTCTATGCCTAAGTTTGAAATTCCGTTATTTGATGGAAAGAGTAATTTTATGTTATGGCAAAGTACGATTTAAGATCTGTTAGTACAACAAGGGTTGGATCAGGCATTAGAGAGTAGTAAGCCTGAAGAAATGTCTGATGCTAATTGGAATAGGATTTAGAAGAAAGCCGTTAGTACTATTAGATTGGCGCTAGCTCCAGAGGTAAAATACAATGTGTTGACTGAGAGTACTCCGAAGAGTTTGTGGGATAAGCTTGAAGGTATTTATGCTTCGAAGTCGTTGACTAATAGATTATGTTTGAAGATGGATCTGTATTCTCTGAAGATGGAAGAAGGTATGAGTCTTCATAATCACCTGAATGAGTTTAATAAATTGGTTTCTCAATTGTTAGCGATTTCTGTTGATGAGTTAAAAGATGAAGAGAATGCTTTAATTTTGCTGTCATCTTTGCCCAAGTCTTATAGGCCTTTAGTTCAGACTGTGTTGGTAGGTAGGTCTACTTTGAAGTTGGATGATGTGACTGCCTGTTGCGTGAGAATGAAAGGTTTATGGGAGCTCAGAACTCATCACCTGGGGGGAGTACACTAGCTGTAGAGGGGTTTTGATCGAGGGAGGACTCAAAGAGGATTGATGGATCAAGATGGAGATCCAAGTCAAGAGACAGAGATTACAGTGATGTAGAATGTTATTATTGTGGTGAGAAAGGACATATCCAAGTGCGCTGCAGGAAGCTGAGAAGGGATATGGCTGCTTTCAAAAGGGCGAATGATGAGAAGAAATCAGATGAAGAAAAGAGTGATACTGCTGCTATCGTGTCTGATGATGATGATGTTATTTTGACAACTTGTGTGGATGAGACCCAGACTTTGAAAAGTGATAAAGGTTGGGTTTTAGATTCAGCTGCTACAGTTCATGTTTGCAATGATAGGAGCTGCTTTGTGGAATTGGATGAGAATGAAAAGTATAGAGATATTGTGGTTGCTAACAAAAAAAAGGTGCAGATTCAAGGTATTGGGAGTGTTCGCCTTAGATCTCACAATGGTGTTATTAGGACACTTCGTCATGTAAGGTATGTACCAAATTGTCACTACAATTTGATTGCTTTGGATGAGTTAGCTTCTCGAGGGTACACTTTATGGTAGTAATGATTGGTTAAAAGTGTACAAGAATGGTAGTGTGATTCTACAAGGGAATAGGGTCAATCACTTGTACATGTTTGATGGAAGCTCAGTTGCTGAAATGCCTGTGATGAAAGAAAAAAAGAAAGGTACGCATGTTAGCTTTGTAGATACTGTTGAAGTGTTTGGAGATTCAAGTCAAGGGAGGATTTGTTGGGATTTGCCTTGAATCTCATAATCCCACATCGAAAGTTAAGTAAGTTTTGGAATTTGTCTTGTATCCCCACATCGGGAGTTTAGTAAAGGTATAAAGGTTTCACCCCTATAAATAAGATGTTTTGGTTTTAGTTTAGTAACCCCAGAGAGTTAGACACCAAGAGAATAGCTAAGTGAGTAGGCTATTAAAGGGTGTAATTGGGTTTTGGGTTAAGTTTTGAGTAAGGAGTTTTAGGAGACTTTTCTCATTCTAAAAGTCTCACAATTGTGAAGATTTATTTGATAGTGGATTTGGTTTGGAGTAGGCCATTTTGAGTTGGGCTGAACCAAAAATATTTGTGTGTTTTTTCTTGATTTGAACTTGTTATTTTGTGTGTGATTGCTGCGTGTGGGTGTTGTTTTTTCCCAACAGTTTTCAATTCTTGTTACAGGTGATGGCAACATCTTCTGATAAAGAATAAAATGTTGATAAAGTTGGTCAGGAATATGATTATGAAATTATTACAGAGTTAGCTGATAAAAATCATGAGGTTTTAGAACCATTTATTGGAATGGAGTTTCAATCTTTGGAAGAGGTTTAGAGTACTATATTAAGTATGCAAAATGGGGAGGATTTGAAATTCGTAAGAGTCGTATAACAAAATCTCAAAAAACTCAATTGATTATTTGACAGGAATTTATTTGTTCAAAGGAAGGTTATCACAATAAAAAGTATCTCGAAAGGGAAGATAGAATTCAAGCACCATCAGATGAGACATGAATGGGATGCAAAACCATGATTTATGTGTCCAAAAAAGATGATGACAAATGGTTAATTTGTAGATTTATAAAAGATCACACTCACGAGCTTGCTACTCCAAAAAGTGCTCAATTTTTACT